GGCTGCTGGCACTCCTGTCTGGGGCTGGGGACCACACGGCCAGTTGCACAGCAGGGAAAGTTAAGAGCACAGGCCTTGGACTAGAGAAGCCGGGTCCACCTTCACTGCCTGGAACTGCATTTACAATGGGGATAAAACCCACGTTGTGGGGTTGTCACGAGGATAAATGAGCCGGTGTGTGTAAAAGACTTAGCATAATGCCCCAAACAGGCTGAGCCTTTGGTAAATTCTAACTATGATAATAACGGTTTTCATTATTGCATATTACTGCTGCTAAAAACCCTGTTCTTAAGGAAGAAGTCTTCAGAAATTACTGCTATTATAACACTAAGTGGGAAAAACAAGTTTATAGAATGATTCCGATTATACACCCAGGTCTTCTTACACGAGTTTCTGGGTAAGATGGTACTGTGAGTGCAAGCCCCACCGCCAGAACACAGAGGAGGATATTTCCAGGAAAACATAAAAGTAAGAGAATTCTAGTATTCATATATGAAACCTGGCTGTTGTCATCACTATGCCAAGAATTTTGTGTGGTCAGTTTGGGGTGCGAGACAGAGGTGTGCTGGCAGGGGTGTGAACACCAGACTCATCCTTCCCCTCCTGGAAAGCAAGAGCAGGGCCGGGTAAAGACAGAGGAGACCTGGCAAAACCTCCAGGGCTCCTCTGCCCCCACCTCGCAGAGTGAGACCAGGAGGAACAAGCAGGAATTGGATCTTCACTGGAAAACAGGTTACATAACAATCCTTATTCACAGAAGTTGTCATTTATGTGTAAGGAAGACAGATAATCTCTTACATCAAGGGCTCAGACAGATTCCAACTCTTATTTTTACTGATATAAACTGACTGTGGGAGAAGTGAATCAATGAAGTATGCAAGAATGGACGGGACTTTGGGGTGGCAGAGAAAGCACTTAAATACAGAGTTCTAAATTATTGTTAATATGATGATGACGCTTAATGTAAATAGGAAAATTAATGCCTAAAAGAGACCACTCATTAAAAGTTTAATAACAGTAGCATCAGCTGATGATGGTAAACCAGCAACAAAAATGTAAATGTGGAGAGAATGGGATGAGGAAACAAAAGGTAAGCAAAAATTTTTATAGATGGAGGGGCTCAACAGACTCGAATAATTAGAAAAAATATAATATTTTTAAAGAACTCTAAACGTATTGCTTTAAATTAAAATAAGATGAGTCTCTTCCTAATCACTAGGGGAAAATATACATGTAAAACTATTGGAAAGACAAGGATAATGTGGAAGGATAAGTTTATTGTAGCAACTATGTATAAAATATGTCAAATAATATGATCAAAAAGATAAATAATACATTTAAAGCATTACCCAGGAACAAAGACAAGACAAATATGTGTTAATTCACAAAATTCTTAATAAATTACAAAAGGCAGATATTCTGCAAGCCACGTTTTAAAATCTAATGCAATTAACTAGAATAAGTAATGGACAATTTAATACCTAACCATCTAGAAATTTTAGGATATTCTCTTGCAAACAAAAGGAAGGTAAACTTAGAAACATGGGCTATTCAGGAAGCTAGAACAAAGAGGTGGGGGAGAACCATAAATAAGACAATTTTAAACAAATTATCATGTACACTCGATGCTAAAACATTTGAAATCTTGAGGACATGCACAATTTTCCCAGAAAAATACAAGTGGTGTTGAGATATAAAGAATGACCCCAAGGTTTTTGATTGGCAGTCTGATGGACATTTTACCGAGAATGGCAGGGCTAGGGGTATCTTGGGTGGGAGGAGCCTAGGGCCATCAGGGTGGGAGTTTCCAGGCAATAGTTGGAATAGATGAGGCTGAATCTCTGGCAAGCTGTATGGCACATACCTCAAGGTTTGTGACCTTCAGCATGTGGCTTGATGCAGAAATCAAGGGGGCCCCCCGGCGTGCTTGCTGCAGGAGGGTACAGCCACACAGAAGACAGTCTTGGCAATGACCGGAAGAGCTTCAGCATCTGCGAGGAGTTTGAGGAAGTGCTACGCTGCCGGCTGGTGGAGGAGCAGGGCTGGAGAACTTCGGTGAGGCAGGCAGCGAGTATTCAGGACAGCCCACTGGCTGTTGCATTTCCAGCAAGAGTGTGTCAAGTGCTAACTGGAGTTTAAGATCAGAATGGAAAAGTTCTTCTTGGTTTGACTAAAATGTTACTGGTGACCTTGGCAAGCTCAGTGTCACAGGGGTGCTTTCAAACTTTCAGTCAAGAGGTAATAGTCATGTTATATAAGTTTTATAGAGAGCAGGATAAAATATAGAAAGCTTTTCAATGTATTTTTTCAAAGCTGGTGTAAAATGAAAATCAATCAGAAGTAGGATAGCACCATGCACACATCCCAGTCATTGATACACACAGGCTCCCAGCAACAGCTGACGGCGACTGGCGCTTGTTGACAGTCTGTTCCGGGTACCACTCTAGGGAATGTAATGAGGACTGAGTCCTCACACCAGCAGTCTTAACAAAATATTAACAAACTGAATCCAGAAATATGCTAAGTAAATTATATACCACACCCACAAATACAAGTTTAATTGTGAAATATTGGGAAATCTACTATAAAATACAGTATAAATTGGTGAAAGGAGAAAATTCATATGATCACAATTTTCTGAAATTCTGACAAGTTCTGATAAAAATTTCTTAACAAAGCCTGATAACTAATATCTGTCTCAACTAGCCAACACCATATCTGTTGGTGAAATGTTAGTGTTTTTTAGAGAACAGCAAGCAAAATATCCACTAACGTTCTCACTTTAGACACTGTTGGGAGAGTTGTAGCCAACACAAGAGTAGAATTAAGAGAGTTAAATGGGATTAATATACTCATTGGAAGGAGACAAAATGGCTATTGCATGTAGATGCTATTAATGTACAAGCTTAAGAATGGACTCCCAAAATAGAGACATCTGCCAGGGGTTTGGTTGCAAAATAGCAGGTAGCTACAATTGGTTAAGATCTTTATGTGCCAAGAACTGTGCTGAGGCATTATAGAAATTGTTTCATTTAATTTTGAGGGCCAACTCATGAGATGAATTTTAAACAAGAGCTCTCAAATTTATGGTGGAGCTGGAATTGAAACCCAAGATCTAAAGCCGATTCTCTTAGTGACTATTCCATGTATGGCCACACACAGTCTGCACAGACACATAAAAACCTAAAGTATTTCTAGGGGCCAGAAAACCACTTAGAAAATGCGATGAGAGCGTGATCACATTCACGATAAAAACAACAAAAAGTGAAATACATAACAAAAGTTAAAAATGAACAACAAAAAAACTTATTACCTATTCAATTAGTAGTGCATTTTACTGGTGGATCTAAAGAAGAATTCATATATGTGTGAATGTGTATATATTGTATGTGTGCTGATCAGATTTGGAGTCAGGATGGCCTATGGTTTTTCTACATGTAGTTCCTACTGACAAATTGGGATATGATATAATGGCAGTGTTAAAAATAATATAAAAGTGTTTTTACAAGGGAAAAAGACTAATTTCCAATAGAAAAGAGAGCAGAAACTATTAATGGGTGGTTCATAAAAGAAGAAATTAAAATGTTCAACCTAACTGACAAAGAAATAAATGTAAGTTAAAATAATGACATACATGCTGACTGTTGTGACTTAGTGGGTTGGGCGTCCTCCCACCAACTGAAAACCTGCTGGTTTGATTCCCGGTCAGGGCACATGCCTGGGTTGTGGGCCAGGTCCCAGTAGGGGGTGGGAGAGGTAACCCATTGAGTTTCTCTAACTCTCTTTCTTCCTCCCTTCCCTTCTAAGAATAAGTAAAATCTTTTAAAAAATGATGACAAACTTTGCTGAAGGGAGTATAAATTTGTACATTCTTCTGAGGAGCAATTAACAGTGGGTGTGAAAGACCTTAATATAATCATAGTTTCTGGTCAAGTAATTCTAATTCTTGAAATTTTCCAATTGAAATAATTAGAATTGTGTGGGAAGAATAATTATTGCTCTGATATTTATAATAGCAAGAAATTGGGGTCATGTTAAATGCCAAACATCAGAAAACTATTTAAATAAATTATAGATTGTAGAGTGGAAAAAAATGCAGGGGTTTTAAATAATATTATAAAAGAAGATTTAATGACCCGGGGAAAGTTGGATTATATTGTTGTAGGACAAATTTAAAAAGTAAAGGGACAGAGGAAGAACAAGAGAGGATAAAGAAATCCACTCCAGAAGTTTCTATTTAGTAGAACAGAAATGCTGAGCTGTGTCACTTGTTTATTCACTCACACTCATCGCTGACACCAAGTGCTTGCTGTGGGCCAGGCACGGTCTGCAACAGAGAGAACGCAGTGGCAAAGCGGAACGAGTATGGAATTTGATCCCATGGGATTGGCAGTGCATGGTGGAGCCTGACATTAAACAAATGTGCATATAACAAAATGTAACTGAACATTCTGAAAGCGTATTGTGCATAAGAATGGGGTTTAATGAGAACTAACCCATGGAGGTTATGTGTGTGTGTGTGTGTGTGTGTGTGTGTGTGTGTACACATATATATGTAAATATTTAAGAGAATAATTAAGAAAAAGAAGATATTTAGGAGTAGGTGATAAAAGCATACCTACCTGCAAAAGAAAAGAGGTGAGGGAGGAAAAATAAAGTGAAGGTAGTTTGTTGTCTTGAGAAACTGGGAAATGTTTAATCGTATAATATTTCTGATTATGTTAGACTGAGCAGAGAATTACAAGTGTGTGCACTTAAGGCAGAAATGATAAAGACAATCGTAATAATTCTGAAATTTTGGAATATCATTCTAATGGAAAAACATTAAATTATTATTAACTCCAAAGTTATGTGTGAAGTAACGAATGTCAAGAGCAAAAATCTTTAACTGGTTCTTAGATGGGTAATAGCAGGACCTTCCTGTTTCCTAGGGAGGACTTAATTAGAAGTTTGCTTTATGGTCAGGATACATGCTCAAAAAGAGGACTTTTATTTTGCAGCATTAAATGAACCCACCATAGACTACGGCTTCCAGAGGCTGCAGAAAGTCATCCCCAGGCATCCTGGAGACCCTGAGAGATTAGCTAAGGTAAAACACTTAAATTGACACGTGGAAACCTTCTTATAGGGTTTCAGCAAATTTAGATAAATCTAGCAACTTAAATCCCTCTAAAATTAAATTAGGTCTTAAAATTTGGCTAAGCTTTAAGATGCACATAAAATATTTACTAACTATGAAGTATGCTATGATTAATCTTTGAGGATCTATGAAACCTGAAAATTTAGGCCTGTAAAAGAGATACACTATGAGCTTATAAAATACTGCCAAGTTGATGAAAATAAATAACTGTATAATTGCTTAAAAGTGTAATTTCTCACTCCTTTGTATTTAAATATAATTGTATTTGCCCATAATTGTAGGAACACATTAATCCACAATCAAGTATTCATTGAGGGCCTACTATGTATACAGGCATTTAATGAAGTGGAAAACACCTCCATCTATAATTTCTATGAAATGCATCACTTTTAAATGAACTTGCTTATGAAAATTATATCATAAATCTAACATTTTAGCTTTTTAAAAAATATATCAATTTGTTAGGTATTCAATTAATGGGAAATTAATAAATTTTAACATTGATATTTGCATGTTAAGCACACACATTATAATGAGCTATGTTCTGTTTTCTGTACTGTGAGTAAAATTTAAGTACCACAGTTGCTTCTCCATCACACCTTTATTTTCCACTTGGAAAACTCCCAGCCCCACTATTAAATTAGATGCTATCTGGAAAGTAGGTTAATAGCAATTTAAAAGGCTGTTAAAAACAGGAGGTGGAAAAGACAAAATGAGAGGAAAGGGATTACTAAATACTAATTCTCTCTGGTTAAAGTGAACAGAGGGAAATATTATTGAAAGAATTCATCTTTATGAGAATAAAAGTTTGCAGAAGTCATTGCCAAGTTAATTTCAGTACTATGGACAACTCCTTGGCAAGTGGCTAAACACAGGCCAATCAATCAATTTTAAGAATACTTGGTTGAGAGATCCAACCAAGTAGTAGTAAGTGGAAGCTACACTAACCTCCTCCCAGGACCAATCTGGAATTGCAACTACATTGTAGAGAAAGCATCCTGAATAAGCAGCTGAGCACTAGCTGGAAAGAAGCCTTATAACCATGAAGAGACCGAAGAAACCACTTCACCACAAATGTGACTGGTAGGGAGTGCGGAGGAGGCACACAAGAGCTAGCTGGGCTCCCGTGGGTGGCAGCTGAAGTTCTGGAGGGATACTTCAGTGGCCGGAGGTTTCCCCCTGAGAAGTGTGGGTTCTAAATCCCAACCTAGGCTCCCTAGCCTACAGCACCAGAGCCAGAGAGGAACCCAGACATCCAGCTGTGAGAAGCAGCAGTGTTTCTCTCTGCCAGGGACAGGTGCCTGGAGATGCAAAGAGCCTCTTAAAGGACCAATGCACAGAAGTTCCTTTGCAGCCACTTAATCCAGTGCTCCAGCAGAGGGAGGGCAGAGTAGACTAAAGAAGTTTGAGGAGAGTCTGGGGCTGGTGGCTCTGGGAAGAGAACTGAAATAACAGCTGTCAGGATCCCTGTGCTGAGCCATCCCCCATATCTCAGAAGCCACCTTTCTAAAGCAGAGCACTCCCCTCCAACTGGCATCAGCCCGACAGGAAACAATACCCATGCCCACAGGAATTACTCAGCCCCACCCCATGGAACTTAAGCCAGGCTGCTGCTTACAGACTGATTAGTTTAACAACTGATTGGTTTAACTAAGGCAGAAAGTACAAAGAATCAGCCATAATGGGAAGACAAAGAAACAGACCCCAAATGAAAGATCAAGAGAATTTTCAGGAAGAAAAACTAGATGAAATGGAGGCAAGCAATTTATCAGATAGAGAGTTTAAAGTAATGATTGTAAGGATACTCAAAAGCATGAAAAAAGACATAGACACCATCAAAAAGGACCAGTCAGAAATAAAGAATGCAATATCTGAAATAAATAATGCACAGGAAAGAATAAACTGTAGGTTGGATGATGCAGAGGATTGCATCAGTGATTTGGAAAACAAGGTAGAAAAAAGAACACCCAGTCAGAGCAGCAAAAAGAAGAAAGAATTTTTAAAAATTAGGAAAGCTTAAGAAACACTTTAGACAACATGAGGCAGAATCCAAATCATGGGAATACCAGAAGAAGAGTGAAAGCAAGGGATTGAGAACCTTTTTGAAGAAATAATGACCAGAAACCTTCCTAATCTGGTGAGGGAAAAAGACATACAACTCCAGAAAGCTCAGAGTATACCAGATAAGTTGGACCCAAAAAGGCCTACACTGAGACACCATACATCATAATTAAAATGACAAGGCTTAACGACAAGTAGAGAATCCTAAACACTTCAAGAGAAAAGCAGGTAGTTACCTACAAGGGAGCACCAGTTAGGCTGGCATCTGATTACTCAATGAAAACATTTAAGGCCGGATGAGAGTGGCATGATATACTCAAGGTGGTAGGTAAATAGCAAGGACCTAGCCAAGCAAAGCCTAGCCTTGCTAGGCTACTTTACCTAGCAAAGCTATTATTTAAAACTGAAGGAGAAATAAGGAGCTTCCCAGACAAGAAAAAGCTAAAGGAGTTTGTTAACACCAAACTAATACTGCAGCAAATGCTAAAGGCTTACTTTAAGAATAAGAAGAAAAAGGGAAAGAAAAAAAAACAGAAGAAAACAGTCTAACAATAAAATGGCAGTATATATGTATCTATCAATAATCACCTTAAATGTAAATGGCTTAAATGCTCCAACCAAAAGACAGATGGTAACTGAATGGATAAGAAAACAATATCCATATATGCCACCTCCAAGAGACCCATCTCGGATTGAAAGATACACACAGGCTAAAAGTAAAAGAATAGAAAAAGATTCATATAAATGAGAAAAAAAGCTGGAATAGCAGTTATATCTGACAAAATGGACTTTAAAACAAAAGCTATAGTAAGAGACAAAGAAAGACACTATATAGTAATAAAGAAAAAATCTAACAAGGGGATATAACCCTAGTAAACATTTATGCATTCAACATAGGAGCACCCAAATAAGTAAAACAAATCTTGATGGACATACAGGGAAAGAGTGACAGAAATACAGTCATAGTTGGGGATTTTAACACCCCATTAACTTCAATGGATAGATCTTCCAGGCAGAAAATCAATAAGGAGACGGCCTTAAACAACGGACTAGATCAAATAGATTTAATTGATATCTTCAGAGCATTTCACCCCAAAGCAGCAGAATATACATACTTTTCAAGTGCACATGGAATGTTTTCTAGGAAAGACCACATGTTAGGACACAAAACAAATCTCAATAAATTTAAGAAGATTGAAATCATATCAAGCATCTTTTCTGACCACAATGCTATGAAACTATGAATCAATGAGAAGAACACTGAAAAATATGCAAAAGACATGGAACCTAAATAACATGTTATGAAACAATAAATGAGTCAACAGTGAGATCAAGGAAGAACTCGGAAGATACCTTTAAACAGATGAAAATGAGGACACAACAATCCAAAATCTATGGGACACAGGGAAAGCAATCCTAAGAGGAAGATTCATAGCATTACAGGCCTATCTCAAAAAAAAAACCCAACCAAGAAAAAGCTCAAATAAAAAAATTTATCTTAACATCTAAAGGAACTCAAAAAAGAACAACAAACAAAGCCCAAAGTAAGTAGAAGACAGGAAATAATAAAGGTCAGAGCAGAAATAAATGAAATAGAGTATAAAAAACAACACAAAAGATCAATGAATCCAAGAGCTGGTTCTTTAGAAAGATAAACAAGATTGACAAACCTTCAACCAGACTTATCAAAAAAAAAAAAAGAAAGAAAGAAAAGTACCCAAATAAATGAAATCAAAAATGAAAGAAGAGAAATAACAACTGACACCAAAGAAGTACAAAGGACTATAAGAAAATGTTATGAGCAACTACATGCCAAGAAACTGGACAACTTGGATGAAATAGGTAAATTTCTAGAAACATACAATCTTCCAAAACTAGATCAAGAAGAATCAGGAAGAACCTGAATAAACAGAATACACCTAGTGAAACTGAAGTAGTAAGCAAAAAACTCCCAAGAAAAAAAGCCCTGGACCTGATGGCTTCACAGGGGAATTTTACCAAACATTCTGAGAAGAACTAACACCTCTGCTTCTCAATTTATTTCGTAAAACTCAAGAGAAGGGGAGGCTCCCAAACTCACATTATGAGGCCAGCAGTATCCTAATTCCAGAACCAGATAAAGATACTACAAAAAAAAGGAAAATTATAAGCCAATATCTCTGATGAACATAGATGCTAAAATCCTCAACAAAAGATTAGCAAACTGAGTACAGCAATGCACCAAAAAGATCATACACCATGATCAAGTGGGATTTATTCTGGGGATGCAAGTTTGGTACAATATTTGCAAATCATTATTTGTGATTCACCACATAAACAAAATGAAGGATAAAGACCACATGATCATATCAATAGATGCAGAAAAAGCATTTGATAAAATCCAGCACCTATTTATGATAAAAACTTTCAGCAAAGTGGGAATGAAGGTAACATATCTAAACATAATAAAGGCCATATGTGACAAACCCACTGCCAGCATCATACCCAACATGCAAAAACTATAAGTGCTCCCCTTAAGATTGAAAACAAGACAGGGATGTCCGCTTTCACCTCTCTGATTCGACAGTACTGGAAGTCCTAGCTACAGCAATCAGACAATAAGAAGAAATAAAAGGCATCCAAATCGGAAAGGAAGTATTAAAACTGTCTTTATTTACAGATGACATGATTCTGTACATAGATAACCCCAAAGATTCTACCAAGAAACAACTAAAACTAATAAATGAATTCAGCAAAGTAGCAGGATACAAAATTAATATCCAGAAATCAGTTGCATTTTTATATGCTAATAAGAAACTAACAGAAGGGGAAGTCAAGAAAACAATCCCATTCACAATTGCTTCAAAAAGAATAAAATACCTAGGAATAAATCTAAGTAGGATGTAAAAGATCTATATTAGGAAAATTATAAGACACTGAAGAAAGAAATTAAAGAAGATACAAATACGTGGAAGACATGTGTTCATGGATAGGAGGAATTAACATCATTAAAAAGTCCATACCCAAAGCAATCTATAGTTTCAATGTAATTCCTATCAAGATTCCAAGGACATCTTTCACAGAACTAGAACAACTATTTCAAAAATGTATATAAAACCACAACAGGCCACACATAGCAACAGTGATCCTGAGATAGAAGAATAAAGTTGGAGTAATCAAGCTACCTAATATGAAAGTATATTATTAGGTGGTAGCAATCAAAACAGCATGGTACTGGCATAAAAACAGACACACAAAGTAGAACAGAATAGAGCCCAGAAATAAACCCACATCTTTATAGTCAATTAATATTTGACAGAGGAAGCAAGCACACATACAATGAACTAAAGGCAGTTTATTCAATAAATGGTGTTGGGGAAACTGGACAGATACATGCAGAAAATGAAATTAGACTACCTTCCTACACCCACACCAGAATAAATTCAAAATGGATCTAAGACTTACATATTAGACCTGAAACCATAAAAATCCTAGAAAAAAACATAGGCAGCAATATCTCAGACATTGCTTATAGAAATTTTTTGTCAGCTATATCTGCCCATGCCAGGGAAACAAAAGAAAAAATAAACACATGGGACTATATAACACTAAAAAGTTTTTGTACTGAAAAGGAAACCATCAACAAAATAAAAAGACAACCCACAGAATGGGAGAACATATTTGTTGATACATCTGATAAGGAGTTAATATCCAAAATTTACAAAGTACTTGCAAAACTCAACACCAGAAACAACCCAATTAAAAAATGGGCAAAGGACCTGAATAGATGTTTCTCCAAAAAAGACATACAGAAGGCCAACAGACATGAAAGATGCTCAGCATCACTAATTATCAGAGAAATGTAAATAAAAACCACAACGAGATACCATCTCACATCTGTCAGAATGGCTATCACCAATAAATCAATAGACAACAAGAACTGGTGAGGATGTGGAGAAAAGGGAACCCTCATTCACTGTTGGTGGGAATGCAGACTGGTGCATTCACTGTGGAAAGCAGTATGGAGTACCTCAAAAAATTGAAAATGGATCCGCATTTTGACCCAGCAATCCCACTTCTGGGAATATATTCAAAGGAACCCAAAACACTAATTTGAAAGAACATAATCACCCCTATGTTCATTGCAGTATTTTTTACAATCAGCAAGGTATGGAAACAGCCTAAGTGTCCATCAACAGATGAGTGGATAAAACAACTATGGGACATTTACACAATGGAATACTACTTGGCCGTAAAAAGGAAATTTTACCCTTTGTGACTGGATGGATGGATCTGGAGAACACTATGCTAAGTGAAATAAGCCAGTCAGAGAAGGAAAATTACTATATGATTTCACTCATCTGTGGAATCTAATGAACTAACAAGGAAAATGGGGACAGACTCATCAGTGGAGAACAGGATGGCAGCTTTGGTGGGGGTTGTGAGTGAGTAGAGGGATTGAGCTAAAAGGAAAGAGGACTCATAGACATGGACAGCAGTGTGGTGATTGCTGAGGGGAGGAGTATAAGGTCACTAAAAGGTAATGTTAAAAAATACAATAAAGATTAAAAGGAAAAAAAAACAATACTCTGTTGATTAGAGTACCAGATCATTCAATGGAATTATCTGAAAGTAGGTCTTAATAAAACTCTCGCGGCATTATTCATTTTAACCAGCTCCACCCTTGATTTACTTTTTTTTTTTTGCAGCATCAGCATTTATGGATCCATTTTATCTAGGTGAATTCCATGTGGAGACATATTTGTAAAGGGATTTATACATATGAGTATATTCTACCTCTTGAGCCATGTATAGGACTTCTTGGCTAGTACTTACATTTTAGGGGGATGTCTGGACATTTTATTTTTGTATATAATTTTCCTTTCCGATTGTCATCTGGGGCTTTACTTTTGCTTATACCCAGCTCTTTGTTTTCTTTTCCAGGAAATGCTGTTGAAAAGAGCCGCGGATCTGGTGGAGGCCCTGTACGGCACACCACACAATAACCAGGTTAGGTGCTCACATCTCAGACTCCATTGAATTTGACTCTTCATGCTGGGTCTGATGCTCACTTCACTGCCGTTTTGTAGGACATCATTTTGAAGCGAGCCGCGGATATTGCTGAAGCCCTCTACAGTGTCCCCAGGAACCCCAGCCAGATCCCGGCTCTCTCCAGCTCTCCGGCTCACAGTGGCATGATGGGCATCAATTCTTATGGTAGCCAGCTTGGGGTCAGCATCTCAGAGTCAACCCAGGGAAATAATCAAGGTATGACATTTGTCCGGGTCAAAACTCAAACAGCTGAGACATCGAAAAGGTTGGCTCTGCTGGAGTGGAAAGAGTTAAAGTTCAATTCATACACCATCAGAAGAGTGTGTCCCCAGATCAGCAGTGCGATCACATACCGTTGGGTTATCTCGACATGATAGCCAGTGTATTGTTATTGGATTTTGAGTTGTTAAGGTACCAGGTAAAATACCTTTAACTAGAAATATGGAAGGACCAGACTGAGTATTTTGATTTTAGAAGGGTTAGGCATACTGAAACTAGATTTACAGGTAGTATTTGAGTAAAATTTATACTTCTGCTGTTGTGATCATCAGACTGAATAATGGAAAGAAGCTGACCCATTGCCATTATTGTTTATTATACCCACCTCTCTCTTCCTAATAGCCAAGGGTGCATGGCTTGGTTTTATTTGGTAACTTCTTTTTGTGTATTACCCCACATATAACATATAGCAACGAGTTTATATAGTTAACTATGCTTTTACATGTAAAGTATATCATATAAATATGTTTGTCATTGAGGTTGATTATATTAAGGTACTAAATTTATCATAAATCATTTTTAGAAGTAAATATTCTTAATGATGTCCCTAACCTTGACATGGTTTTATTTCTGAATTCATTCATCCATTGGACAGAAACTCCTCATTCTCATTCCCAGGGTGAATTTTTTTATGGTTATTTATTTATTTATTTTTAGAGAGAGGGGAAGGGAGAAAGAGAGGGAGAGATGCATCGATTGGTTGCCTTTCACACACCCCCAACAGGGCACCTGACCTGTAAAAAAGCATGTGCCCTTACTCCTAATCAGCCCCTGACCTTTTCGTTTGCAGCCTGGTGCTCAATCCAGTGGGCCACAGTGCCCAGGGCAGTTTCTTACAGAAGGGTGGGTGGGATATATTACTTTTTATAAATTTGGAGTTATATTCTAAATAGTTTTAGAGACATTTTACCCAAAGAACGTTATTTCAGGATACATTAGGAGATGTCTCTGTGCTGGAGGTTCAGAAATATGGGGAGAACTCATTGTTCCTTTCCCCATCCGACTTTCAGGTTGGACTCACCCCAACTCAATTACTAATGCTTCCAAGTCTGGTCAAAGAACAGCACACTTAAATGAACTTAACACTTTCTGAATGAAGATGTTCCTGGCCCCTACCCAGGGTGTGGTCATTGACATTTCCCAAGCGGTGACCCGAAGAATAGCAGTGGCCCTGGAGATGCTACTGGAATGGCTTTTGCCCACAGCTCCAGAAAAGATGCTAGGGTGTGTTCCATTTGGGAAGTACTAGGTTAGCAAAGTTAAACTGGCGTAGTTATTCTAGGCCTTTTATATGCCTATCTTCAAGGAATGGTTGCAGTATGCAACATCCACCACAGTCTGACCGCACGATGCTTTTCTCAGTGATACCTGTTAATCTTTCATGGGGCTCTAGCGCCCTATGAAATACGATTTGGGAGATGTCACTGTTCACTCATTCCTCCGCATAAATGAGCAAGGTTGACTGCAAATGTAAAACAAGAGGAAAGAGGGACTCTGAAGGACAAGGCCTTGTGTAGGATGGGCTGGAGAAAAGGAAGGGAAGGTATAAAAGGACAAAAGCAAAATGCAGACTTCCCCCCTCACCCAGGCACGGCTTGGTGGTGCGTTGCGCTCTGGCACTGTGCGGATTTGTGCTGCGGCGTTGGCTCCGCAGGGCGCGCGCGCAGGCTCACATACCCGGTTTCCTCTGTCGTCCAGGATACATCCGCAACACTAGCAGCATCTCTCCTCGGGGCTACTCGTCCAGCTCCACCCCTCAGCAGTCCAATTACAGCACCTCCAGTAACAGTATGAATGGCTACAGCAACGTCCCCATGGCTAACCTGGGCGTTCCGGGATCACCGGGATTCCTCAACGGCTCCCCCACGGGCTCCCCATACGGAAGTAAGTGCCCGGCCAGTGCCCGCCTCTCCCTGTCCCTCTGTCCCTGAGTCCCTGAGTTTTCCTGTTTGACCTTCCCAGCGAGAGTTGCCTTCCTACATCGTAATTGACTCGCACAGGAAGGTCCCAATTTGCTGATGAGGTGTCCTTCCTGCCTTTTGTTTCTTCCTTAGTTGGACTTGGGCGCCTCTGGCTCCTCCAAGCCTTCGGGGGGGAGAGGAAAGGGGTGGAACGCCCCCTATTTTTTACAGAGAAAGGGCCATTGTGGCTTGCGCAGCTGGGAGGAATGCAGATCCCAATTTAGTACTGATACCCTTCAGCAGGCACTGTCAGATGCCTCACGTTCCAGTCGCTCCACAGAAGGACTTTGTGCGATCAGGATGATGACCACGCGGCTGTAGGGCGACGGCAGTTCCCTGACGTACCTGAGACTACACAGCTAGAATAGAGCAGGGCAGTCTTCCTACCCAGAATTTGCAGGGTCGCATTGTTCTGGGCGCCACTCACTCTGCTACGTGGTTCTCTCCTCCTCTTGAAGCAGCGGCTTTCAACCTTCCCTCTTGCGGCACACATAAACTAATTACTCAGTTCTGTCGCACACCAAAAACATATTATATTTTTGCTGATCTGACAAAAATAGGTATAAGTTTGATTCATTCACACCAAATGGCTGTTGTTGTGTTGGCTTATTGTCGTTTTTTTAATTCGACAGTCTGAGGAGAAAGAGGCCTGTGCCCGTGACTCAGGATGAGTCAGGGGCATGAGTCAGGGGTTGCATGTTAAAAATTCTTGTGGCACACCAGGTACAAATCACGGGACAAGAGAGATGGAACTTGTGGAGTGTGTGTGAAAGTGTGACACATGGAGACAAAACCCCCTTTTTCAAAAAAAATTAAGTGTAGTTGGCATACGATATATTATTAGTTTCAGGTGTACAATATTTATATACCTTACAATGTGATCACCACACTGAGACTATGTGTGGATATAATAATAGTAATTATTATTATCATCATTTCCCCTCTAAGATATTAATTACTATTAAATCACTCAGGGATTCATAGCCAGTAAATAGTGAAAATGGAACTAGAACACACCATCAGATTCAAGATACCATGTTTTTAAATTATTCAATAATATAAGAAATATTTTGTATGTTTATAATACATTATTAGAGTGAAACATAAAATGATCTATTTTTTATTTCCAAAATGGTCATGTCATATGCTTAAGCATACAGTTATGAATAAAATATACATATGGGATTGAACCATATGAATTTTTATAGATCAAAAGTTGTCATATACTAATATAGTGTGTTGTTTGGTGATGGGGAGGGAGAGAGGGAAAAGAGAGAGAGCAGCCAGTATGCTGGGGAGATACTGGGGACGGGAGGAGAAGGGAGAGGATAGGTAGATGGTAGACAGACAGACAGACAATGAATTGATGAATGAAAATACCCACTGGGCATTAATTGCTTGATGTTTCTTACCAATAATTCATTAGATAGGAGGAACCCTTCCCACTCCAGCAAGTGATACCTCCCTATCTTGATCACTCAATGTCACTGCCACAGGAGCATAGTAACACCCCAATCTTCAAAGCAAACAAGACAGCAGACACAGGATAGGAAGAGGAAAGCTCCATGTGCACAGGGGGAGGGAAACCCTGCTGAGCGCCCCCTCTCAGCTCCTGCTGGCTTTGTGTGATCCTCGCACCCTCCTTTTCTGAGGGAGGCTCTGAAGGAGCTGTGCGCTCACAGTGGGATTCCAAACAGTGCACTCGTTACAATAAAATCCTCTACTGCCAACGTTCTGAATACCCTGTGGAGCTCTTGCCAGTAGCACCTGACCTGTATTTCTAACCAGCTAAGTTTAACTTCTCTGGGAAATACAAAAACAAAACAAAAGACAAATAGTAAAAAAAACAGCCCCAAGGAAAGAATTTCATCTCATCTGTTCAGTTGCTTTTGCCTAAAAACACCCTTCTGTGATTTTTTTTTTGCATTTTATTTTTTTGAACTAAAAAGTTAGATGTGGCCAGGCCATGCAGTGGAGCAGTCACTTGCCAGAAACGTTAAATATAGCTGAGCCTTTCTGTCAAATTGACTTGCGTTAGATACTGGCTAATGCAGAGTATCATTCTGCGTCTTTACTGCTTTTGCTCTCACACCACTTCAAAAATGGCCAAACAGATGTTTTTTCAATTTCACATACAAACTTCACTTCCTGGCGGTAGCAGTGTGCCAAGTTCCAGCTCAGTGCACGTTTTTATGGCCGAATTCTGAACCCCTGACAATAGGGGGTTATAATGAAATGCTGACAGACCCATGGGTGCCAGCAAATGCAATGGCTCGATGCAAAGGAGGATGTGTACCTGGTGAGGTCCAGCTGGGCCCACGCCGGACAACCAATTCTTATAAGAAGTGAAATGGTTTTGCCTGAACTCCCATGTTCACAGAGATGTCTGGGCTAGATGTGCTGGCCTTTATTTTGGTCTTTATCCATGGAGAGCCATGTCCAGGGAAATTCTCATATGTGAGTATGTGTGATTAACTTTCCCCAAATGGTGCACCCTGGCGCTCCCAGAGATGGCCTATTCAAGCCCGCAACACCCAGGGACCACCTCTTCCAATGCAGAATAACCACCAAGCAAATCCAAAAGTTTTGGAACAAAGTCCACAAGATAGAAATCCAACTTGTCCTCAGAGACTCCTGCTTCACACACATAGTCTTCAACTGTGCCCCAGGCCTCAGTATTTTAATATTCTCAAAAATAAATATCAAGACATTTTTCTATTGTAGATTACTGAATAATTACTATAGAAAATTTAGAGCCCATGAAAATAGTTTTAAAAAGAAAGCCTACTCTCACCATGAAAAACATCCCTGTTAACATTTTGATAAATTTCTATTGTCTTTTTCTTCAGGAAAGAAAAAATGATCCTAGTACAATAGTAACATGTTCATTATAGACAGTTAGAAAGCATGTATATGTAAAAAGGAAAAAGAAGACATCCTTTATTTCTATGTAGAGAAAACTGCTAACTTTTGACATATAGCCTTCCAACCACAGACACATTTTGAAAATTGCCATGTCTGTTCTGATGCACAACTGAAGGGATTCAGTCTTAAGACCAATGAAAGGGAGAGTAGAAGAAACGTGGTGAAATGACCAAAGTCTCAGGTGTGAAGAGAGGCTCCAGAAAAATCTGTTGGTGGTGCCAGCCCATGTCTTAGGCATGGAGGCCAGATATTAGGAGTGATGTTTGCTTTGCAAAGTTAACAACAGTCAACAAGCTTCCCCCCAGGAATTTAAAATGTATTATTAGTCTCTTGCTTTTTTCTAACAGAGAGGTAAACAGAAAACCTAGTTTACAGGAGGTAAAGGCTTGAATTGAAGAGAAACATTAATATCCAAGAAAATGATTATGCCTATTGCTAAGGATTATATTATTTTTTACCAGAGGAATAGAGATTTTTTCCATTTGTCTATTTTAATCGCTTTTACTGGTTTCTGCTACATCAAAAATAATACATGTTCATTGTAGAAAATTTGGAAATATGGAAAATTTGTCCATATTGGACAAGCAGAAGGAATAAATTTAAGAACATTCATAATCCCATCAGTCAGCGATATGACTCGGAGTTTGGATATAAATCACATCATTCTAGACTTTTGCTTTTTATGTTTTTAAAAAATGCAAGTGGGTCCTAAGTGTAGGTTTTGCATAGTCTGCATCGTTCACTTGGCCTATCACCCGAGGTCACTCTGTATCCTGCTCTGACATCAGTTTCAGTGTTTGCATGGTGCCCCTTTGATGGACTTCTGTAGCTGATCTTGTTGATGATCCAGTCATGTCTCTGTCTTTGGATCTGTTTTTGGTGTGTTTATGATTATTTCCCTGGAATTAATTTCAAAGAAATTATTTTACTGGGTTAAAAAACATGCACATTTTAAAACACAAATCCCTTGGTAGCTATTGCCTCACCAGAGAGGTCCCTAGCCCTTAGGAGAGGTATCCGCTTCGCTGCCTGTTAACTTTTTCCCATCGTTATCCATTTTGTAAGTGAAAAGTAACATCTCAGTACTGTTTTAATTGGCATTCGATGACTAATTATTTGAACGTTTATAGACCTATAAAGGGCTTTTGGTCATTTTCCTTTTGTGATTTTTTCTTTTTCATGCACTTTTTTGCCCATTTTTTATTGGGATGTTTTCCTTTTTCTAGTTAATTTATGTAAACTTATTAGCTATTGAGGACAGGTACACATCTGGTAACTATCACAAAGATTTTTATAAAATGCTTATTTACTAATTTTTTTGATAGAGAGGAAGGGAGGAAGAGAGGGTGAGAAACCTCGATGTGAGAGAGGAACGCCGATTGGCTGCCTCTCCCACGTGACCTGCAGCCCAGGCACGCCCCGGACTGGGGCACACCCCGCATTTTGTTGTGCAGGACAACACCCAACAGATCGCTCCACGCCAGTCAGGGCTGATAATTATCACAAATATTTTCCCCAGTTTGTCTTTTGCCTTTTCTCTGTGTGTTATAGTTTTTGTCATTTGGCAAATCTATCTCATGAGGCTCTGTTTAGGTTCAAGGGCTGAAAGGGTTATGTAAATTATATAACTTTCCTAGTTTTTCTACTAGCACCTTTATAATTTTGTTTTTACAAATAACCCTTTAATCCGCTTAGATTTACTTTGGTGTTTAACACGAGGAAGCGCTCTAAATTTAGTCTCTGTGTGGCCAGTGTACTGTTCCTGTGCATTTATTTCCCCACTAATTAAAAATGTTGCCTTCATTAAACTTTAATTCTTGTATACACCCAGGTCTGTTTCTGGACTCTATTTTCTCCAAGGAGTTGTCTATCTACCTACATTTATGTTAGTATAACACTGATTTCATTGATGTAGATTTATTATGTTTTATTATGTAAAGATAAATGACTCCTTACTGCTTAAACTTTTTAAAACAAAATGTTCTGTTTCCTTTAGTGTTATTGTTTCTTTAAACAGATAAACATAGAAATTATATTTGTTGATGTTCACAAATTTAAATTCGTTCTGAGATTTTTATTGTAGTTGTATTGAATTTGAAATTAATTTGGGTATAAATGTGGCATTTGGTGAGCATTTTGTAAAAAGAAAATCTTTTAAATGGACCCATTATAGCCTGAGACTTATTTAACACTCAACGGTTTTTTTACGTCATTTAGTAAAGCTTCAGGTCACCCCTCTTCCATTGAGAGGCAGTCATATCTGATCTAATCAACCCCCTTTAGGTTGTCTCTGTTATGAGAAAAGAAGTATTTGTGAAAGCAAGTCCGTGTTGAATAGACAGGTAACTGTGTGTGTGGGTGTGTGCGCCGGATTCACCTTGTGAATGCCCTCCTCTGTCACGGTGCCTGCGGGGAGGGCCTGCTGTTGCCCACGCAAAAACCAAGGCACCATTTGGAGCCTGCAAGGATGGGTCAGACACCATGGCAGAGACTGGACTTCGGTCAGCACCAGGCCTCATGAGTCTCTGCTTTTCTCTGGCCTCTGATTCTGTGCCTCACAGAGAGAGGAGAAGTCCCCTCCCTTCCTGCTCCCACATACATTTTATTGTTGTTAAAACCAAGGTGAGAAGAGGAGGTTTTGCTTGGAACTCCGACTGAGGTTCGATTCCAGTGCTGAATCCTGCGTCCTAGCATATAATGCCAGTGAATGAGCCCATCCTCTTCTTCACTCTCGTCTTCAAATATGACGTGAGATTCTTCCAGGACTTCACCTTCCTTTCCAGTGTTTTTCTTTTGATTCATTCATATTGTTTGAGGAAAGACAGAGGTGTAGTTGGACCCTTCCTTCTGCATAGCTCTTTAAATCAGGACTGCCTGAGGATAAGCAGTTTTCAGATAAAGTACCTTTAGTGAAGACTTTGGTTTGCAGTGTGTTTGTAAAAGACATCTGATTGGAGACATGTTTTATGATTGTGTTATATATGCAATTATGTGAACACAGCCTGAAGCGTGTCTCTATAATGAGAGGGGGAAACTGGCATGGAATCATACACAGGACATCAAAACATTTGACCTTCGCTTCACCTTGGACTTGGTCTTTGAATCATAAGTCACACTCCTGTCCTCACTTTTGAAATTTAATTGCGGGGAAGCTAGGCCACCAAAGCTGTGAAGCGGACATTAGTTAGCACTGCCAGCCTTTATTGTGGGCTTTGCCAATGGGCCCCGGTCATCTTTTACCAAATCAGGTGATGCGGACAGTTCAGAATTCTGGAGAGGGTGCTAAAGTGAGCCCATGAAACTTGACCTTCGACTCTAATATGCTGTATCTAACAATTTCACCCTCATGAACTTTGGTTTACCCCTTTCTTGAGCAAGTTGAACACAGAAGATAAAATTATCTTTTTGTGTGATGTAACTTGGAGTCTCCAACTTTAAGAGGTGGGGCACTTCATTGTGTAAATTGCCTTTATTTTTCTTGGCAATGACCACACTTAACTTTTGGCTTCCTTTAAGTAGTTTTAACATTAACATTGGTGTTTTTTCTTTGCGTTACATCAGAGGAGGCTGGCTTGCAGCCTTATTTCCCAGGAGCTCAGAAAGTAGGGGTGGGGAACAATCTCCTAAATGTTAATAAAAGTGCACATTTAGTGAGGAGATGGCCAGTAGAGATGGCACTCGCTGAGGAGACGCTAACCCTGTCCCTCAGGACACCAGAGCTTCAAGAGTCACCAGGGAAGTACATAGTCCCAGACAGGGCTTCTTTTTAGGGTGGAAGGACATGAGATGATTCTTCAGATGCTGGTCTTCTCTTGACGAGCTTTTACCCATGAGTGAAGACCTATCATGATACCCCATCCCGCCTGTGTCTTCCTGACTCTCCTGGGCAGGAGGGCATCTACCTGCTGCACCTGCTTAGCCTTGTATACATTTGTCCAGTTGAATGATGACCCTCTCGGTTGTTTTCCTTGTCCATGCCTCCCAGTGGACGGGCAGGGACATTGTCCCATTCAACATTTTTAAGTCCCTGGACTCTAGAACAATGCCTGGAACAAATGAGTAGTTTCTCAATAGCTGTGTACAGGTTATATGTCCTGAAGAAAGAACTTCTCTTCTGGATGGGTCCCTTTCTAAAAGAGGGTTATGCCTTTGCTTTCCAGTCATGTCCTCCAGTCCCACTGTTGGATCTTCCAGCTCGTCTTCCATCCTCCCATTCTCCTCTTCAGTGTTTCCTGCTGTCAAACAGAAGAGTGCCTTTGCCCCTGTCATCAGGCCCCAAGGCTCCCCTTCGCCCGCCTGCTCCAGTGGCAATGGAAATGGATTCAGAGGTGAGCAAAGGTTCTCCTTTGGGTATAAGCATAACACATGTGCTCCAGGGCCAGCAGAGTAAGAGCAAACAGCATGGCATCATCCTACAGCTCTAGGGGCTTTGCTTCTAGAGAGATGATTTGGTGTTTCCAGCCTGGTACGTGAGTGGCTTGTGCATCCGGGGTGGTGCTCCATCCCAGAGCAAGGTGGGGGAAAGCAGACGTCGAATAGCTCTGCAGGATCACAGGATTAACTGTGGCAGAGCCGCACATATCCTCCAGGGGCGTCTGGACCTCCCGGACATTTACTTTCCACAGGGTCATGCCACTGTTCCCTAGCAGGTGCCTGGTCACTACATCGAATGCCCACCTGGCCAGCTTGCCACACACGGTGTATACACATTCCCATGGCGCAGATGCACAGGCTCTGCTGGGGGCGTCAGCAGGTTCTGGGCATGCTGGTTGTGTGCTAGTCAAATTGATAGCAGGTGCCTGGTCTGGGTGGGGTAGGGAAGAAAGAAAAAAAGACGTACTGTGTCTAAGAACAGAAATTAATCACCCATCAAATTCATTTTTGAGCAGTGTCTTAAAATATAATATGACATGACGTAACCCAAATGTGATGAGTACATGAGAATCTAATCATCTCTGTGTGAATGGGAGGCAGCTGACGGCAAAAGAGCAAATTGGAAACTGCTGGACGCTGTGGGTCCTGACGACCCACATTATGTCTAGGCTGTTCCTTGTGACTCGACATGGAAACATTCACCACCAGCAGTGCTGGATAAAGCTGCAACCGGCAGAGGTTCGGTTAACCCTTGTGGGTCTAAGCCTCTGAGGTCAGCAGAGCTTTGGGGGTGCTGTGTCATGCCCTGGATGGCATCTGCCTAGTGGCTTTCTGAGAGCGGGGGGGGGGGGGTGGTTCCTGGTCCTTTGGAGACACCAGTGAGGGTTCATCACCAGTCGTGTTCGAGCAGAGTCCCGGGAGGTTTCTGTCCCATCCTACCATCAGAGACAGTGGTGTCTCATCGACATCTAGTGACCTTGCAGAGAAACTGTGAAATGAGAACTGAAAACCCAGCCCTCAGAAGAGTCCCTGGAAATTCCTTTTCTTCTAAGTAGATAAAGCTGTTGGGTCTACATGCCACCTGACATGTGAGTAGTTGGAAACATCTGTGTACTTGGAGGGACTATATACACATACGTACTTTGGTTTTCATCCAGATGCCTAATTCATAGAGAAACAGGCTCAGCCTGTAGCTAAGTGTCTCCACCTGCATGTCTCCCTTCAAACTTGTGGTTTCCATCTCACTGTTAGGGGACATGCCCAGAACTTGGTCCGTGATGGCTTCATCTCCAGATCGGGACACGGGAACAACTACTGAAACTTTACTGTATCGTCTCCTTTCCCATGAGCACCTCCTTCCCTAGTTCTTTGGTTTTAGTCACATCCCTTATGCCAGGTGCAGCTGCACAGGCCTCACTGGGGAAACACAGTGCGAGAAGCCCAAGGCAGGCTGAGGAGGACTGTAGGTGCTGGCAGATGGAGGGACATGGCCCTTCCCTCCTTCCAGGCCACCCTTGCACATATGTTCAGTTTCGCTTTGAGGAAAGAATTACGAGCTGACTTTCCCTTGCCACCCCTGCCCCCCTCCTCTCTCACAAAGCACTGAGCTGGGGATATGGTCCTGGCTGTCACAGCTCTCCCTTCTAGTCTGTCCTGTCCAGGGAGACCCACCTGGGTGGCCTGCTTGACTCTTGTCCCTCACTGGAGCCCGGATGAGTTTTTCTCTGGTGCCTATGGCCTGGAACTCCTGCCCTGTCTGTCGTTGTACACCCAAGCCCCACTGTGCCGTTGCCTGCTCAGGGCTGAGTGGCCCGGAGAGATTGGAAGGGTCTGTGCGGTCCCAGTGAGCTTTTCCTGCTGGGACAACAGCAGCAAAACAGCCAGAAGGCCCTGTGTGAGCTTCAGGTCACCAAAGGTCAGAGTGCTTAGGCTAAGAGCATGGCTAGGCTGCACAGTCTGTTTTTAAACAATATTTTTGTTGATTTATTGGAGTGGCATTGGTTAATAACATACATAGGTTTCAAGTGTACCCTTTTGTAATACAGCATCTGTATATTGGACAAGTGGCGCATTCTTGGTCGTGTCTGTAGGAGTTATGATTTAGCTACTTACATGTAGGCACAGACTCTGGGGCCTTGTTTCATTTCTGTAGAATCACTGCAAGGTCCCGAGCCTCTTTTGGATCCTACAATTTTCTCCAAATTTTTCTGGTGATTTGAATCCTAGAAGAAGGAGAAGGAGGAGAAAGCAAGCAATTAAGTTAGGATTGTTGACTAAAAAATTACAAACAACTATGAAAATAGAAAGTAATGGGGGAGAACAAAAAGAGAATGCAGAGGAGACCTTCAAAGGGCATCAGGCCTTGAGCGAACACTAGACTGGACTTCCTGAGATGTGGGTTGGAGTTCTAGCTCATCTACCTTCCACGCTGGGTGAACCTGCACACGTCACTGTCCTCTGAGAGCCTCACTTTCCTGGTCTGTTAAGTAGCAAAGCTGTAAAATATCTGCAGAGGTTGTTGTGAAGTAATCTGTGTGAACATCAGGAATAGTAAAGGACATTACATGCAGACCAGCAGAGAGGAGGCTGGAATTGATGAAGGACGCCTGTTAGAGACCTTGACTCCCACTCTTCCTCACTTCAGACCCAGTGAGTAGACTCAAGGCCCAGCATTGCAAGGCATCCTTTGCTGTAGACAGGGAAAACCCCACACTGACGTTTGACTGCACAACCTACAGTCTCCGAGCAAAGGAGCCTGGAGTGGCAGGTGCACACCTCCTCTTTAGAGATAGACAGTGCAAGAGTGAAAATGGGGTCCAAGGGGAGGGGGAGGTTGGTGATCACGGGCTTGTGGGAAGGTTCTTCTCTGACTTGTGGGTTGAGAAGGTTGTATGTGTTCCTCTGCAGAAGACCAATGCAGTCAATACCCTCTAACACTTGCTAACTGTTTCCAAGCAGCACATGTAATGTGCCGAACCAAGCACTGCACACGAATTACCTTGTTCAAGTCTCCCATGTGACCCAAAGGGGAAGGTCATGTTGTTACCACCATTTTTAGTTAAGCAGCTTTCCCAAGGCCTCACAGCAAGTGACTGATGACTTGACCTCAGACATTTTGACTCCAGAGCCTATGCTGTGACAGTCTGCTGTCTCTCTGGGGACAAGAATAGTGCAATTCCTCTCTCACCTTTCACCCATATATACTTCCCACCTGGACCAAAGGGGGATTATTGCTTTGCCATGAAATGCCAAAGGTCAAAACAAAATGGACCAAGTGCAGTTAAGCCTTTCCCTTCCCTTCCATGACAAATGCTTATTTTTCCTCCAGTTAGCTTTTGCTTTCTGTCTGCTGGCCCTGGTTTCCACCAGCAAAAAGTCAGGCCCACCTTGTAGCAGAGACCCCACCACCCAGTGCCCAGTGCGAGAAGAAGGGAAGGAAAATATGTAAAGTGTGTTGTTCTTCTGACATCGGTGGATCTGATTCTGAGTGGCTCTGCCCTTTTAATAAGCTCTGTAGGTAACTCTCTGAGGACCCAGAAAAAGGAAGGGGCTGATGAGTTTTAAATGCAATAGACAAGTTAAAGTTGAAAATGTGAGCCAGAGTCCCCCTGCCAGAGAGCTACACTTGCAGTGTCATTGTCCCACTCGCCACCTTATCTCTCAGGCATTTACAGTTGATGAGTATAGAGTGTCGAGATAATATTATTCACTAGGCACCTGATTCATTTTCCAGCTCCCTCCAGGAAAAATAAAATAAAATAAAATAAGAAAACCTCCTACACTCCAGGATAATTACCAGGGTTGCTACATCTCCAAATCATCAGGGAGTGTCCAGAATTGAACTGCGTTTATTGAAAAGCTACATCGATTCAATATATAGTAATTCAGGCAAAAATAATTAAGGCTTCGCTAGCTGTGTAAGACCTTAATCCAGATCTCACAAACATTCAATAAAAGCTGTATGGGCAGGGAAATATATGGCTGACAATTTTGCCCAAGAAGACTAGCTGGCATGAGAGGAGGGGTGGAAGGAGAGGGAATAAGAAGCAGAGAGAGATGGGGAGGAGGAGAGAGAGGAGACAGAGGAGAGAGGCATGTTGGGTGAAGCAGGAAGAATTTTGGCCATTTGTTTATAAGCTTAGTAAGCACCATACAGCAAAATGCTTCTTTAATCAATAAGCCCAAGATGAAATATAGACAGTACAAGTAATGGATTCAATTCTAGATATGGTTTGAAGTTTTGATACAAGAAACTATTCAACCGGCTTCCAAGAATGTGAAAATTCTATGGGTTTCTCTCCTGAAAGCCAAGACCAGAGGGGTGCATTTTTTGGGTGATTTTTTATACTGCTGATGCTGCTTTATTTCCCATATCAAGGGACAGCCTTTGACCTGATGCCACCCTGACTGGCATGGTCCCCATCCTCTTGATGAGACATTGGACATTATACCTGGACAGGGGCTGTAGAGAAGAGATTGGAGTGACTCCCAAATTAGGAACTAAGTTAAATCTTCTCTTCCAGTGGATCAGCATTTATTGGTGACTGAGTATCACACAGCAGTAGTGAGCACCAAAGGAAGATGAGCTAGTTAGAAAGTAAAATGCTGATCAATCTTAGCTAGAATGGGTAGGAACCTAGGATGCATAGAAAGTTTGTTTGTTATAAATGATGCCTAGTAAGTACCTCAGTATTGACTCAGCACCTGGAATATTCTTTCCTGTTCCAGCTAAGTGATTTGGAACTGTATAATCTAGAAATTATTTTAGTCCAATAATGAAAAAATATATCGCACACATAGTACAGTTTAGTTTACATGTTCATGTCCATTATGTCGTGTACACAACCCATTGATATAAAACAAAACAAAACATGACTGTTGGCCTTCTGAGCAAATCTTCAGCAAGCTTTGGCTCTATGCAGCGATTTGTAGGCTTTGGCACCTCTCTAGGCTTTCAGATAAACCAGACCTGGAGAAAATGGGTCCCCATGTCAGCTGAAGGCACCACCTTCCTTGACTGCACCAGACGTCCAGTGCCATCACCTGCCCCCTCACTGTGTTAGAGCCTTGTTGTAAACAGCCTTCAAGTCTCATTCCTGTGTCACTCTCTCCTCACAGCCATGACCGGACTCGTCGTGCCCCCAATGTAAAGAAGAGGAAGAGCTGCTTTCTCAGAGCACAAAACTACTCACTCTGATGGACCAGTGATGAAGAAAGCACTATCTGCTCTTTGGGGAGAGTTGTGCCCCCCAAATGGACATGATGGACAGACTTGGCTCAACAAGGAGCCGCTTCTTACCTGGTCTCACCTTTCTTGTGTAGCTCTGATGGTGTCTACACAAACTGACCCCCTTGGGGACAAGGACAAAAGATGTCATTGACGTAGTCAGTGCTAAAAGCAGAAATGCAATTCTTTGTTATGAACATTATAAGAACCACCTTCCTATGTTTGTAAAATATTTAAGAAAAAATTGGCAAACAATTCAAGCTTAATATTTTGGATACTATTTGTTTTTCTTTGTAGGAAAAAAAATTGAAAGTTTCTATTTTCTATGAAGCCTTTCAGATACCAATTTAGTTTATGCAGAAAAAAAATCGAACAAAACAGGGTACCAGCATGGAAGACTTTCTTAAAATGAAACCTGAATTGAATGACAAAATGTTGTTGTATGTGTGTTTGCTTATAGTTTAATCTCTTTAAGAAAAAGGGAAAAATTTTAAATGTTTTACAATTATTTAAATAAATAATGTGTAACTTATTGTAAGTAGAGGTAGAAATTAAGACCTTTTTGGAAGAGAGGGGAAGTTCTCTTTCCAATGTAAAATGAAACTGATGCAAACATGTAGTAACAAGTTTAAAGGTGTGTGACTATTCCTGCAGTTACTTACTAGACTCTTATCCCCATCTTGCATCCCCCTCTTTTTCCATCATTTTATTGACCCATGAGCAAGAATAAGTACCTGATGTAGATTCCTGCAGAATAACCCCACACAGAGACAAAGATTCAAGTCCCTGCAAATACACAAATACTCAAGCCCATCAATTCATTCCCATCCCCATCTGCTTTCTAAATAGTCTACAAGTCCCTTTTGGTATTCACTTTTTGTGAATTAAAAAAAAAAAAAACAACCTTATACTAGCTTTCAACATTCTCCCCTGAGCTGTGCAGAGAATTCCCATATTTTTGTGCATTTTTGGCTTTGCACCCGGGGAAATAAGAGTCTCACCTTACAGAAGAGCCAAAGTCACCATGACTTTTTCAAGCCAGCTGCCCCTTTGGAATTCCTGACAGCCACACACTGCCTCCTCTTGGGTTACCTGGTATAGCACTAAGGTGAAAGCCCTCCAGGACTTCAGAAATAGGGTTTGAAGAGAATGGCTGTGTTTCTTGGACCCTTAGGATGTCAAGTCCTTTCTTCTCTGTAGATTTCCCCTTTCATGGCATTAAACTCTCTTGAAAAAAAAATATGTATACAACTTGACACAGTTTCCAGGCAAGAATGGGATGGGGTATGGAAGAAGAATATTAAAAGTGCTATCCCCTCTCCTGATGTTCAAAGAGGGGGGAACCCAGATTCTTAGCAGGGTCACAGATTGGGCACATCTGTGTTCCAAGCAGCTCAGTCACCCACTGCTGCCACAGGCTCCCCATAGTTCGGGGAGTGGCTCTGAGGGGCAGAAACGTAGGAGCCTCTTAACAGTGGCTGAGTTTGAAAAAGCCTGTGTGATCCTGGGGATGTATCCAGACTTACTTGGGTTGCCAATAAGGATGTCACTTTTTTCTAGGACAGGGATTTCCTTGTTGACTCACTGGCACCACAATATAGTCTATATGCAGACTCCAGTTTGGGATTCTTGGTTGGGGTTCTAACATTAGAAATTGATGCAGCTCTCATGGAAAAACACCTTTAGTGCATCTAAGCTGATTTTAGATGAATTTGTAAATTCTGTGCCAGTGATACATGGCCACAACTTCCCAACCCCAATGGTCTTATTTGCTTTAATCTATTCTGGAATTACCCAATGTGACCCAAATATTACTTCCATGCACAGGAGAATCCAAGGTATTGGAAACCTGGCATGCTTATAACTCTTGCTGACAGTTCCTCATAGTTAGGGCTTAAGGCACCAAAAATACAGGGAAACACATGAGAGAAAGTTCCCTGGTGAAAAATCTGATGGGAGGGGGAAAAGTGTGTGGACACACCCATTACCATCCAAAAGTGAAGGCAGAACAAAGTCAAGCATGTCTAGACCTGGATTTGAGCCAATTCAACATAAGGACATTTTTTTAAGTAGCATTGCTTTTAGAATCTGTGAATTTTGCTCTTGCATGAAGATGAGTGCAGTACTGTCTTCAAAATGATTGTAGAACTTGTTGGTAGCTTGCACCGAAAAACATGTGTGTACCTAAATACCAGACATCCTGGACCATTCAGCTAGAACCTTGGCAGCAGCAGATCTATTTAACTGTACAAATGTGTGTAAGGATTATTTTTAGTGTACTAATAAATTTAAAACAAAGCTACTCTGTCCTGTTTAGTCATTGCTGTTGAATCATTCTGGTCCCAGGTTATTTTTGTGCCACTTGGAAGACAAGTATTTCCATAGGTAACTTCAAATTCTATCCTATCTTTGTAAGAGAAACTGTGTAAGATTTTTCATTTAAAGGGACAATTTACTTCATTATTTATCTCATTTTTTTGATATAGCATCGTATTTTTTCCCAGTTTTTCTTTGCACATTTCAATATGCATGGTTTAAAAACCATTAACTTCTCTATCTTTTGTACAGTAAGATCTCATTTTCAAACTGTATAGTTTCATTTTTCTTGTTTGCTTTGTCAGTTATATACAGTATAAAGTTGCTATGCACAGAGCTTTTGTAAAGACAGCTTTTTTGTTTACTGTTTTTAATGGTCTTACTTATGAAAGAATATCTTGTTTGTAAAATGAATATGCCTACTTCAGTTTTAAACTTTAAATTATCCTAACAAAAAATAAAAATTTTTGTACTGTAAAAATGTTTGGATGTTTGCCTTTTTTTGTAAGTGGGAAAAACTTACTTTGGGATTAGTTTTCTTAAGTTTGTAGATTTTCTTATAACTGCTATCCCCTGAGCTCTGGCTGAGAAAATCTTGCTACAGCTGTTGCTTACATGACAGATGTTCTGAGGTGCTCACATAGAGGAGAGAATATGTATGCCTTTAGGTCATTTTCCTTATGTATTTATCTATATATATCCATCAGTCAAATTGCTTCATAAAAACTAAAATGGTCCCACTTTCTATGTTCTGCTTCCATTATATGGAATTATTAAGGTAGGTGGGTGGTGTACTTATATTTGAAAGGGTTTGTTGAACAAATGTTATAACTGATCCATCAGACACTGGGTGAAGAACTGGAAGCTGGCCACAAAGCCTGATGCCTATTCTTAAATCATAGGAAGAGAGCAAGACACGTGCTCCCGGAAGGAAATAATCCATAGAAAATAACTTGCACAAAAATTTAGAAGGGCTGCCCTGGCAAGTGAGGCTCAGCTGGATGGAACATTGCCCACAACCAAAAGGTTGAGGGTTTGATTCCCAGTCAGGGCACATACCTGGGTTACAGGTTCAATCCCTGGTTGGGGTGCATAGGATTCCCAGTCCGGGTGCATATAGGAAACAACCAATTGATGCTTCTCTTTTGCACTAATATTTCTTTCTCTCCCTCTCTAAATGCAATGAAGAAAAATATCCTGGCGTAAGGATAAAAAAAAAGATAGAAGGGCTGTAGGAGCTCAGAGATGACTGTGATCCCAGAGGTTTGGAGGGGTCAGAGAAGCTTCCATGAGAAAGGCAGGGCTGGGCCAGGCCTTCAAAGGATAGAGATTTTACAGTAAATGTTGGTAGTGTGCACTGCGGGTGGGAAGGCCGTCATGAACAATGATGTGCAAAGGGAAAGTCACACAGCACATTTAGGAAAATGTTAGTGAACATGAATTCAACCAGGCTGTTGACAAGTGTACTTACAATTGGATTATCTTATTTCTCTCTACAAAGATACAGGTGTCTTTAAACCACGTAGACTGTGTTTCTTGCATAAGTAGGTGAGATGCTGTTCCTAGGCACTCATGTGAGAACGCCATAGTGGCTTCGCCTCTCTCTATGAGGACCACTGTCTACCTAGATGCACTTCCCCTGGGTCTTTGCATGGCTGGTGCCTCCACATCCTTCAGGCCTCAGCTGAAGTATCTACTCAGGGAGGCCTTTGCTGACTGACAACCATGCAGGTTTCCTACCTACTCTCTTTACTCAAGCTCTTTTTGTGTCCTTGTCATAATTTATATTTTTTGTTGTCCCCTTAGACTAACATCTCATAAGAACAGGGACCTTTTCAGTCTCAATACTGTATGTGGAGCACTGAGGTGCTCAACAAACACTTGTTGAATGAGCGACAGAGGCAACTAAATTCTGACACCTAAGGGGAGCTCTGCCTTGTCATAATGGAGAGGTAGCTGATCTGTCAGAAATGATAGGAAATGGCATTGCTTTGAGGATCTACTCCCTAGGGACTACCTTGTTAGTCAATTAGTCAAAAAATGTTGAAGTGTGTCTGTAGTGTAAAGTGGTTTTTTGTTTAATAAACAAAAACTCAAAATGGGAAGGAAGTGAGGAGGAAGAGACCTCTGGCTGGTGGCCTGTAAGGTAGGTTGCTTTGCATCTTGGGCTTGGAATTTATCTCATGTGGATTTTCATGATGCTCAGATGTAATTCCAGAACCAGAATTGGGACCTTTTGAGGGAATGCCCATTCCATTCCTATTCCAAGGATGACACTTGACTTTTTGGCCACATGCTTCAATCTCAAAATGCTTATGGTGTATTTACCAAAGTGGAAGAAGTTCAGAGTGACTGTAGGGTGCTGAATGCAAAAGAATGATGAGATGTGAAACTTTAAGAATTAGGTGAGGACTGGATCCTCAAGGACCTTGTCCATCCACCATGCCAGAGTGCTGCTTTCATCTACAGGACTATGCTGAAGGTAATGGGAAACTACTAAAGGAACTTAAGGAGAAACCTAGTCACCTTTATGCTGCACAAAAATCACAGTAGCTACAGTGTGGTTTATGGAACAAAGCAAGTGGATATTGGAGGCAAAGAGACCAATTAGGCAAGGGGTAAAAGACGGAGGATAAGCACCAGTATGCTGTGTCTATGACTGGGACCCTTTCTCATTGGCCAGTGCTTGTGCCATGGCAGTTGATAAACATTTTAAAATTACTCTTGCTATTAGGAGGAGACCATTGCAATTCTCCAGGCAAGAGTGACTTGCACCTGAAATAAGAATTGGCAGTAGAGTTCTGGCCAGTGTGGCTCAAATGGTTGGAGTGTTGTTCCATTGACTGAAATGTTGCAGGTTTTATTCCTGGTCAGAGCGCATACCTGGGTTGAGGATTAGATCTCTGAATGGGACACATACCAGAAGGCAGCCAATTGATGTATCTGTCTCACATCAATGTTTCTCTTGCTCTCTCCCTTCCTCTTATTCTACAAAGCAATGAAAAAATGTCTTTGGGTGAGGTTAAAATTTTTTTTTTAAGTATTGGCATTAGAGGGAAAAAGTAGAGGAAAGATTTGAGAAAAAGCTTTGCAGTTTGACAGGACCTATTGACTGATAAGATGAGGAATGAGGGAGGTAAGTGACTAAGGTAACTCCTGATTTGCAGGTTGGACAATTGAATTTTGTGATAACTTCAAAGTAGGGAACAAAGATGGGACCATATTGTAACAAATGGAAGGATATAATCATTTTAAACTGAGGCACAAATGCTATTTTCCGTGTGTGTGTGTGTGTGTGTGTGTGTGTGTGTGTGTGTGTGTTTTGGTTAGCTGTTTTTCTTGGTTAGCTGAAGACTGTTCCCAGCAGTTTATTCAAGAAAGACTCAGAAAATTATACTCTTTGGTTCATGTATATCAAAAAAGATTGCTCTATTTTATTTGAATGGCTGTTTGGCTGGGTATAAAATTTCTGGGCTTATACTTTCTTTCCTTGAGGACTTCATGGAAAGATTTAGGGTTTTGTCTTTTAGCTAGTTTCTACTGCTACAGGTCGTGGTGCTGGTATCTGATGTCATGCCTCTTTTCTTCCCCTCTGTCATTCCTCATATGTAAACAAGGAATTCTTGTAATTTGTTGTTTGAGTCATCATACTTTTGATAATAAAAGGGGGCACAATAACTAATTATGTCTGGAAAACAGATGTAAACTGGCAGTTGGTCACCCTTGATACTTCTGTCTGTTGGCTTTAGAGTCTTTCTCTGTATTTGAAGGCTAGAAATTTGGCTTCATGTGGATGGCTCTCTGTAATTTTTTCCGCTGGGATGCAGTGTTCTCTCTCAATGAACAAATTCAAGTCTTCTTTTATTTCTGGAGCCTTTCTTTAATTACAATGTTAAAATACATTCTCTATTCCTTCATCTTGGTTCTTTTTGCTAGGGATGCAAGTTAATCATATACTGGATCTCTAGTGTCCATCATTCATGTCTGTCACATTTTCTCCAGCCACTCTTGATACTTAATGCACTTGTATGCTTGCCTTCTCACTCTTGTCCTTTATATTCTTTCTAATGTGACCTTCATTTCATAGATGTCTTATTTTTTTCTTTTAGATTTTTTATCCTCATTCAAGGGCATTTTTTCATTGCTTTTAGAGGGTGTGGGGGAAGAAAGAAATATTGATGTGAGAGGGAAACACCAATTGGTTGCGTTTTCATACACCCTGACCAGGGATTGAATCCACAACCAGGGCATGTGCCCTGACTTAGAATCAAGCTCACAACTTTTGGTCCATGGGACAGCACTCCAACCAACTGAGACACACTTGCCAGGGCTGGATTAATTTCACTTTCACTTTCATAAGCTGTGCTGTGTTATATCTCATCACTTTCTATTGTGTTGTTTATTTTCATTGAGCTCTTGCACTTTTGCTATGAGTTATTGTTTTATAGAGAAATTATTTTATTATATTATTATTGTGAGGTTGATTAGAATTACCATCCACTCCATGAAAACTTATTTTCCTAGTGTTCTTTGCCTATAATTTGCTTTAATGTTCTTTTTTTCCCCCTCATGGTACATGGATACAAATTATATTTCCATAACTTTTTGATACTCATCTTTGATGAAGTGAGATTTTCCTATTAGCAAGATGTTTGAGAGGGGAAGTTAAGGACCATGTACCAGGCTAGCAGTTCTTATTTCAGGTGTGTGTGTGTGTGTGTGTGTGTGTGTACAAGAAACTGAGAGAGAGAGAGAGAGAGAGAGAGAAAAGGTCTTTTAGCTTTGACTTCTTGGGCACACTAAATCAGCATTGGTGCAACTTCTCACAATGCACACTACTCTTTCTTGCCAAATGACTGGTTCTTATATATATGGCTTGTTTGGCTCATTCTCTCATCAGTCTTGCCTACTGTGTTTCATGTCCATGCCAAATGCAGTCCAGAGATGTGTCTATAATCACAATGTATGTTCGTTCCAATGGTTTCAACAAGAGACTTGGTTTTGAACCTTTGGAGAGGCACACTTTATCACACCAGCTTTGTGTAATATTAGCAGCAGAAGCATCCTTTCTTGGTCTACACATCCTGCTTGACTTTCCCTGCCTTTGCCATCCTCTCCTTATAAACTGTGATTTGAGCTGACCAATTTTTCTAGTTTCCTCAGAGATGAAATTCATGCTTCCCTTTTTTCATTTCCCTATTTTCTTCAGAGTGATTCCAGGTGGAAAATCATTAAAAAGTTCATATGACAGCATTTTAAACTTATGTCTTCATATACTCTGCTGTATAACATGGTAAGTCAAGAAGAGACTGCTGTGCGGTGCCACAAACTCCTTCATTCACAACCCAGATATCTGCATTTTACCAGCAGGTCGCCCTTGATAACTGGCTCTTGGCCCAGCCCAAGGGCTACAT